AACTCAATCTGATTACGCATCCTTGACAAATAAGATTGTTTTAAGAAGCATCGTTGCAGTTCCATATTTTGCGTATTTATTAGAATAAACTTATTGGTTTGCTTTGCTAATGTCAGTCTGTTTCCCGTCTAAATCTGATCATGCATCCTCGACAGAAACGATAGTTTTTAGAAGTGTCGCTACAAATGTATATTTTGCGTATTTATTACAATAATCTTATTGTTTTTCTCTGCTAATATCAGTCTGTTTCCCGATTCAATCTGATTACGCATCCTCGACGAATAAGATTGTTTATAGAAGCATCTCTGCAGTTCTATATTTTGTGTATTTATTAGAATAAACTTATTGGTTTGCTTTTTGCTAATGTCAGTCTATTTCCTGTCTAAATCTGATTACGCATCCTCAACAAATAGGATTGTTTTAAGAAGCATCGCTGCAGTTGTATATTTTGCGTATTTATTAGAATAAACTTATTGGTTTGTTTTGTTAACGTTAGTATTTTTCCTGATTAAATCCGAGCACATATCCTCGACAGATCAGATGTTTTATGAAGCGTCGGTATATATGTATACTTTGCAGGTATAAATATTGTTGATATCAATCTATTTTTTTAATCACCTTTGTTTTGCTTTACCAATGGTTTTGCTTTACCAATGGTTTTGCTTCACCAATGGTTAGTCAGTTTCCCAAAGAACTGTCCTGAGAATTTTATTTTCGTTTTAATACGTTGAATGCCATGCGGGTCACCGGTGACCGGCGCTCCGTTTGTTCGTAGGCGACACGGGGGCCACCAGTGACCGGCGAAGCCAAGATTATTAGAAACACATAATTCGAGTAAATGTTTAATTTTTTAATATTATTATCGCTACTAAAATGGTTTGAAGAAATAAATGCATTATAGAACACACAAAAATAGTTTTATTTACATACACAGAGATGCCAACTTGCTCCGGACAGCGAATAAATATTTTCAAGCGGTAGTTTATTAATTGGGATTCTTGGTTTAATAAATTCAATTTAGTAGATTTTTATTCTCCACTATTTCTAAACAATTCGCAGGCTTAGATAATTCACCACTTTTTTTCAGACATGTCATGAAAACCTTTTAAAAAACTAGCAAAATCTGTCTAATATTTGCTGATTTAGTTCGTAGTTGTTTACCGTTTGGCCAGACTGGCAAGCCATGTAAAATTAGCATGGCATTCAACGTGTTAATATTATAATCCAACAAACTTCACAGGTAAAATTTATCGAATGTATTTCAATTAACTCTTGTACTAAATTTTATTTCTACGCAATCAAACTCAGTGTATTATTTATTTCTTCATGTGGTTGAAAATAATCATTTTTATGCTAGTAAAAGTACACATGATACTTCAAAACTTTCTAATCTTATTTTTACTCTATATTTTAAGATGTAATAATTTTTGATTATTTAAAGAATGGAAACTATCTAGTATGACTAAATTAGAATAGAGTGACTAAATTAGAATAGAGTGACTAAATTAGAATAGAGTGACTAAATTAGAATAGAGTGACTAAATTAAAAGAGTGGGGGCAACATGCTGCAACGCAAGCGCAGTGATGTTGTATTGTCCAGTTAGCAATGGCAAATATCAGGAAGTCACTATTTTTTTGTGCAAAAATCGTCGCTTAGTCGATGTCACTTTTCCAATTAGCCAATCTACTTTATTTGTAGAAGGAGGACTAAATGTTCCTGATTAACAGTGCATTTAGGAACTGATAAATGACATTATTTATAAAGCTTTCTTTTAACCGTATTATAAAGCTTCCTATAACTTGTTAAACCTTATAAAAAGCATTATACTTATTCAAATTTACAAGGTTTCAGAGTTTTAGTATGCTAATACATTTTTGACATTTTTTATTCCAAAAATAGGTAATTAAATAAAGAAAATATTATTAAAAGTTAATAGATATCTCGATATAATAGATAATTAATAGATCAGTATTGTTAATAGATATATGCAAGCGAGGTAAATAATTATTTAAGAATTGTTAAATTATATAACGGAATTTATAAATATTTCAAACTTTTAATTAAAGGGCCGTATTCTAAAATATGAATATTTTTTCCATCTCTAATCCTAAATAACTAAAATATACGTACATGTTTATCGGGAACTTATAAATTAAAAATACTATAAAATACACAGTTTACGTATTTTATAACTTTAAGATATTTGATAAGTTTAAATCGATATATTTCTTAGTTTGCTAGAAATACTATTTTATTTTAAAAAGCATGGAACAAAAATAATTGGACTGTTCATTACTTCAGTTACATTGTTGAAGCAAAAGATTCTATTGAATATCCAAATGAAAAGTAATATGTTAGGAAAACAAATTAGCCTTGTTTCATGGAAAAACGTGATATTTAATAATATTAAAAGTATAGCATTTGCAGAATGAATTCTTACAAGAATTTGATAAAATTGCCAAATAAAAAGTCAAAATGAATTGAATTCTAAAAATAGCACAGGAAAGCCTGTCTTCAGACAGAGTAATCAATTACAGAAGGATTTATTTTTCTTTTTAAATAATGATAGATGAGGAGATGGTATTGGCCTGCTGACATTTAGTGTCTAGTGTAGAATAGTTGATAAACACTGTTTGACAGTACACTAAGTATTTTGACAGTTTATATATAAGAAAGACTTAATGTTAAGCACTGACAAACCAGCTATACGGCTCTGGAATATATTGAGAAGTCTTTCTATAATGATTGGTTTCATCTAAAAATGCAGTAGAGAAAAATTTTGGATTCAGAGGTTTTTGCTGTTGTCTAAGTAAATGTTAAGGAGTTTTTAAAAAGTGTGATGCATTCAAAAGTATAGCATTACCGAAACAGCCCGCTGTGAGCCAGATTATAATGAAGGCTAAGGCTCCACAATTTCGTGACCACCCTTATAAAAATGTAAGGGGTTTTTGAAGTTTATTCAGGTTGGTTTGAAGTGATAAGATAAATTTGAGTTTTATTTGAAGCTGACCTCAAGAACAAATTTTAAAAATCAACCTCCCAAGTTTATATATATATATATATATATATATGTANATAATCATCAAGGTGTCTGAAGTTGTTTCACTCACACTTGAGATTGTTTTGAGGTTGACAGGAATCTACCGTAGAGCAACAAGCTTAGAGAGGTGCTTTTTGAGATGTGCAGGTTATTTTTCTACATTTCAAGCAAATAAGTATATTTGAGGTGTGAATAATTTCACCGAATTCAATTTAAAGTATTACTGAGTATTGCTATATGATGTTGATTTGATGAGATGTAAAAGAGGTTGAAATGGAGGTTTATTGATGAGGTTATTTTTGGTGTAAAACATAACCTTATTTCCAACTCATGTGTATGCTTAAACAATATCAAAAACACCTTATTTTTTTAATTAAAGGCAGCGTCGTGATGGTGGTAATGTGGTCGGTTTTGAGCATAGGTCGGTTAACTTTCCACCCAAACGCCACATATGGGTTTCAGACTCAAAAGTATACGTTTTTATTAAAAATGAAGTAATAGACATTATTAATTTATTAATATCGACTCTGAAGAGAATAATCAGAGTAATTCCAGAAGCAGGAACTTATGAAAGCGATCAGTCTTAGTTTCTGTTCTAAGAGTAATACCTCAACGAAACAACTAATTAATAGAAAGTAATTCAGAAAAAAATATTTTCCCGCATGATAAGAAAATATTTATTTCGCACTTTACAAATGATAGCTAACTCAATTTTTAAAACAAATATTTAAACAGAATTTACTCAAACTGTGTCGATGCAATTTCTTTCCATTGCTTACAAAATGCTTGCTGTCGCGTATCTACCACTACAAATATACAATTACAATTCACTAGTATATAAGACATGTTAACTCGATTGATGGGGTACCTTTTCATAGAAGAAGGTTAACATTGTCGATAGCTACCATCCCCACATTGGTGACCTTCTGACGCAATATGAACACGCCTATCTTAACAGTAACGCCCACTTCGATGTGGAAACGCCTACTTCAATGGATGCTACTTGTGACTTGCGACGTTATCCACCTCCTCGCACTGTTGCTACTCAGTTCCGATTCAACGCAACGTCGGCCTGCATACACTCGACTGCTAAAGGCAACACAGGAGCGACTACGACAGTGAAGTTAATACACCTCTCACATTCAGCACTCAAAAAGTACGGTAACCTTAATACAGCTTCGCACAAAACGGCAATGACTCAACTAGTGGTATCCATTCATCGAATTCTATCACAGCTAAAATTCTGGTGGAGGAGTACTGTAGCGTATCTACCACTACAAATATACAATCGCAATTCACTAGTATATAAGACATGTTAACTCGATTCTATGATGGGGTACCTTTTCATAGAAGAAGGTTAACATTGTCGATAGCTACCATCCCCACATTCACGGGGGCCTAAACTTGTCTCATACTGCAGACCACCATCGGTTATTTCAGTAAAGGCTGTTTGGAAAACCACTTGATAAAAAATTTTACCAAAATGGTCAAAAAGTTTGGAATAAATTCAGATATTTCAGAACATTACGGGAGATGATGCAGGGCTTCTTACATTAGGATTCTAAAAACGTAAAATGTTTTGAAAAATGTTATGAGCGTTATGTATCACCATGTATATCATAAACTGTTATTAATAATTTATATCCATATAACATAAAAAGTAATGGTCTAAACTCATTTCTCATTGCTATTGGTGCATTTTCATTGGACAGAAAAATCAGCTGATGGGTTTCTCAATAAACGTAGAAGATTGGGAAATCTTTGGTTGCCATCGGTTAATAAAAGTTACTGACGGTATTTTTTCCACGGTTAACGGTATTTTCTCGTAAAATATTTATCACTTATTTAACGGTATTTTTATTATTTTATATTCATAGATGATTGACACATTAATATTAAGTAAATAATGAGTAACATATTTTACTATTTCGGTAATTCCAAGAATTATTATTTTTTCAGATACTTTATACAATAATATTGACTGCAGGCGTCTTTCAACATTTTTTCCATCATAATGCTGAGTCTCTCACCAAAAGTAAGTAGTTTTGTCCCTTTGTTTCTGTTCTTTATTTTATCTTTTGTATCCTCTTTTAAAATTCATGTCATATTCTCTATAAATAAATATCAAGATATGCTTTGTGCTTATAGCTTAAAAAAATTTGTGCCTTGCCATGTTATTTGAAAACAGTTATGTACTTAAAAGTTTTTCAGTTTAGAGCGTAATTTAATTTTGAAGTAAGTGCGAAAATGTTAAATTAATTCGGTTTCTTTTTATTAACGATATAAGCCAAACACAAGAATTCATTAAGTATAAAATATGTAATGTTTAGCATATCTCTGTTATACGACCATTTTAGCATTTGGTACTATAAGAAATTACTATAAAATTTATAGAGTCAACTGTTAATGTATACTCTATTCAATAAAGCTTAATAGTTCTAATTGAGTTTATTCACCCTTTTCTATGGTGATAACAGCATCAAGCTACAGATACAAATGTCCCGGGTTCTATCCCAAGCAGAGACAAAGAAATTCTTCTTTACACTCCCTCTACATTAGTTACCATGAACATCGAGCAGTCATCTCTTTCACATCTCTGCAGATGGCAGCACTACACTATTTTGCCCTGTTCCGCTGTTTACCTTGATTTAACGAACAAATAATCTGGGTTTCAAACAACGTCAAAATCCGAATTTTAGAGTCAGTACATATAAATTTCACAAGAAAAAAATTTATGAGCAGGTCAATATTTTTATGGCAATGATAGCTTAACGAGTACAATTTTTTTCTTTTACGGTTAGTGTCTGCAACACTGTTTGTTGATTACTGACCTTAATTTTATCGTTGCATTTTTTTTAGAATATAGCATCCTTTGTTATTTATACACTCTATAACAAAATCGACGCACCAAGAACGCACTAAGACGCGCAAAATCGACGCTCGATCAGGCTGGAATGATGCCGACTGGGGACGTATAGTCTTTAGCGACGAATCCCGCTTCCAACTGTGTCCTGACGATCACCGAAGACGCGTTTGGAGACGCACAGGGCAGAAGGGGGATCCTGCCTTCACTATTGCAAGCCACACCGGCCCTCATCAAGGCATTATGGTCTGGGGTGACATTTCCTTTGACAGCCGGATCCCCTTGGTCGTCATTAGAGGTACACTTACTGCACAGCCGTACGTTGACGACATCCTAAGATCTGTTTTGCTACCGTTCCTTTTGCAGCGCCCGGGGCTGGTTTTTCAGCAGGCAATGCCAGGCACCATACGGCACGGGATGCTATGAACTGTCTGCAAGCTTTTTAAACTCTTCCTTGGCCTTCCAGATCACCAGATCTCTCTCCCATCGAGCATGTCTGGGATATGATGGGAAGGCGATTGCATCTGGCACGGAATGTTGATGACCTCGTTCGACAATTGGATCGAATTTGGTAGGAAGAGACCATCCGGGAGCTTCATCGGTCTATGCCACGCCGTGTGGCAGCTTGTATTCAGGCTAGAGGCTGGTCAATACCTTATTGAATTTGTTACTGTAACTCTGCAATAAATTATTCAATTGTTCTGAAATTTCAATCATTTACTATTCTGTACATTGTCTTCCTATCCACCAATCTTCGTTTCAATCGGACAATTCCTTATTGGTGCGTCGACTTTTTTGTTATAGAGTGTATTGAGACTAACGTCATTCGATGCAATTTTATTTGTACACTCTTTATTTTATAAGCGTGCAGAAAATTAGTGCAAGGAAATCTCGATCAATGTTTACTTTTATTGTCTAGAACACAATTATGCTTAACAAATTTTTTTTCGTAAAGATACCGGTAGAGCTAGAAATTTTGCCGAAATCAGTAAACCTCCTACTGTCATAAAATTGCTTAAATTTTCTAAACATGTAAATGAACTCTTATAATGTAATTTATGGTTTTTAAAAGTTTAATTTCTGAACAAATGCCATTGCGAGCTTAAAATTGGAGGAAAAATGATTTGACTATAATTTCAATTTCAGAAATATCAATTTGAGAATTTTTCCTTCATATTTTTTTGTTTTTATTTTCTAACTTGCGTTATACTAATAATTATTTATTATTAATTTTTCACGCAGTAATTTATTTCGCCGCTAATTTTTATTTTTTATTTTTATATGATAATTGACATCCAAGTACTTAAAAATTTAAAATAATTAAAAATAAGTCAAAACTTTAAAATTTTGATCTTTTCTATTATACGAATATAAGATTAATTCACATACTATATTTATAATTTCAGACAAGTCAGTTCAAGAAATTATTCTTCAAATTTGTTGTTTATATTTTCTAACTTAGATTACATTATTATTAATTATGTATTTTTAATATTTTTCGTGCTATAATTTATTACACTTGTAATTTTTATTTATTATGATTATTGAAGACCTAGTACATAATTAAAAATAAATTGAAACTTTAAAAATTAAATCTAATTTCTATACGATGCAATTTGTAAAAATATATTAATACGGATTATGGACATATTTAATACATACTATTTTACTGATGAATTTGATCGTGTATAATAATTATTATAAATAAAATCCATTTAACTTTCATAGCTTTTAAGCTTATATATCTGTAATGTATTTAATATAATAATTATTTTCCACCATCTATGAAGATGTTAAAAAGATTTATGCCATACGTTTAAGATATCAATACCTTTGAAAGATAATTTCCACAAATTCTTTAAAAGTATTCAACAAATTTATTAAATATTGGTTTTACCTAAAACTATTATTCTCGAACGGCAGCTATAACAATAAAATATTTATCACAATCCATTACTATTTCGCTATAGAGATTCCGAATTCAAGAGAATCATGAATTTAAACATAAAGTACATTCTGGAAAGGATTTCAAGAAATAAAACTTGACAGTATTTTTTCCCCTCATCCTTAAAATACACTTTTTTTTAAAAATATATAGATATATTCTCATTGTTTGAATGTATTTTGTTGCTGAACTTTGAAAACTGAAATAAAATTTCAATTCAAGTAGATTAATTCGTTTTTTTTTAAGAAAAAAAGATTTCTTGCAAATTTCTTGGATATTGAATTTTAATGCAAATTCGCCAGAGGTATCAATTTCTAACAGAAAAAAAACGACTTAATATGATTGGTTCTACAATATTATTTTTCACTAACCTGTGTGAAAGAAAAATTTTAAAAAATTTGGTCGTGAAATATGTTTTGGAAAAGAGTTTGTCAGAAAAAATGGGAAGAAATATTTTTGATGCATATAAAATACATCCTCAAAAATATTCCAGTTGTTAGAACATCGTAGTTTTTGAGAACTCTTTTAATACATTGAATAGAAAAACCTACTAATAGATTGAATGCATTGCTAATATGTTAGATATAATTCATTATTAAATGTAAATTGGACAAACACGCTAAAGTTGCTTTTATTTTGTCAAGAAGACTTGACATTTTGTCAAGCTAGAATATTTTATTTCTTGAGAAATTTTCTAATGCATTGAATAGAAAAACCTAGTAATAGATTGAATGCATTGCTATTATGTTAGATATAGTTCATTATTAAATGTAATTTAGACAAACACGCTTAAATTGTTTTTATTTTGTCAACAAAACGTTTTAAACTAGTTTAAATTTTTAATTATTTATTACTATAACGCGTCTTTATACCAATATATAATTAGGTTTAAATTAAACGAATAAGTTTAAATGGTTTTACTTTATGATGTTTTCAAAATTAAGAATGCAGTTTAAATTGGGTTAATTTTCTTAGTTGTTTACTAATATAACTCAGATATTTTATTGAAATGTTTTGATTAAACACCTAATTTTGAACTGTTTTACATTATTATATTTTCTAATTCAAAGAGGGCAGTTTACACTGGTTTTATCAATTTAATTGCTTACTGTCTGGGTTTATGTTTTTAATTTCTAACTAAACTATGTATATGTCTATTTTATTAAGAGTCTACATTAATTAATTATATTTAGACTGTTATATTTCATTGCTCTTTTTAGTCCTTGACCTTTGAATATTTGATTACTTTTTTCATATAGTTTCATTTTAAAACCGGAATTCATTAACCAACCTTTCATTTTGTAATCTCGAAGTAATATTTGTCAGTTTTCTAAATTATTAAATAATCCTGATATGTAAGTTAAGAACATTTTTCACAGACGCTCTTTTAACAGTTTCTATTTAACCAGATTCCCATTATAAATAAGCAAAACTAAAAAGTATCAATTGATCAAGTAAAAATCTTGAAAAATTTTACAAAAATTATCAATCGGCTAAGAACAAATTTTGATAAATTGTGTGAAAAAATATCAATCAGTTGAGTACAGTTCTTGAATATTTTTAGTTCGAAGAAATTTTCACCATAAATAAAATAATATCTCTCAAATAAAAAATATTTTTTTGAATAATTCACCCAATCTCAGTTCATAGCCAGAAATAAATTTAATTTGTTAAAACTCAAGTCGCAAGTTGTTAATTATTTTTTGAGCACTAATAAACCATTAGACATTGACAAAACAAAACCCTTAAAGCAAAAGATGCAATGGAAATTGATAAAAAAAATAGTATCAATTTTTAACATGTGAATTTAAAGAGAACGAGATTACATTAATATTTCATAAAAAAAATTGTTTTGCAACCTGATATTTAATTTCATTAATAATTCAATCAATTAATTCCTCTTATCATTTCAAAAAAATAGTATATACGCATATATATAATACTTAAAAAAATCTAGATTCTATTATAAATGTATAATACATATTGCAGTTCTTAAGGAATAAAAGAAGTGCTTAGTTAAAAAAAGATGTCCGTTATACAAATGAGAAAACTAAATCTTTTATGATCAAATTTTGCAGTACTTTGCAAAAATTGACAATTTTGCCTCACGATTGTTTTTAAAACGTTTTATAATTCAATGATGTAAATTTACCAAAATCTATGTTAGATAGCAATTGCAAAGTTTTTAAGAAAAATTTCATTAAAGAGAGCTTTTTAATCCATTAAT